TGTGCGGGTTAGGGTGGGATTGGCCGTGCTAAATTGTCCCTTAGTGCCCAGGGCTGTGCGGGTTAGGGTGGATTGGCCGTTGAAAATGGGATGTGCGGGTTAGGTGGGTTTATCGGGGGGATGAGCCTGGGTCTGGGTGGGACGCTCTGAGAGTCGGTGTGGACTTGTTGGGCCGAAGGGCCTGTCCCCACATTGTAGGGGATTCTATGAAAAGGTGACCGAGATAGGGAGGGATGACAGTGCCCACTCCCTCACCTCCTCCAGCCCCCTACACCCCCTCCCTATTTCTGTCATCTCCTCCAGTGTTGTTGGGGCTGCCCCTTTCCAGGGCAAGTGGGGAGTGTTCCCTCACCCTCCTGCCTTGTGCCTTGTCAATGGTGGGATAGGCTTTTGGGGGGGGGGGGGGGGGAGAGCGGGGGGTTAGCGGGGAGAGACAGGAGGGGAGTTCCTCGCTGCAGGATTCCCAGCCTTTGACCTGCTCCTTGTATCCGCTGCATTGATATGGGGCTGGGTCCCAGTTCAGTTTCTGCTCAATGGGTAACCCCCAGGATGTTGATCGTGGGGGATTCAGTGATGGTCACGCCATTGGTTAGATTCTCTCTCTCGGTGGAGATGGGCATAGCCTGGCATTTGCCTGGCGTAAATGTTACTTGCCCTTCATCAGTCCAAAGGCTGGATTTAATGAAACGGCGAGGTGTTTACCCTCTGTATGTTTTCTCCTGTCTCGTTCTGACAGATCGGTGAGACACTGGAGGTGGAGAAGGCACAGCTGAGGGATGAGATTAAAGAGTTGAAAATCCGAGAGAGCCAGCAGCTGCAGGACTGCGTGGAGCTGGAGGAGGAGAACATCTCGCTACAGAAGCTGGTCTCCGTGCTACGGGAGAACCAGGTACGGCCTGCCCCCTGACCCCGCCTCCTCAGGCCTCTCCGACAGTGCCCGCTCCCTCAACCTCCGACAGCGCCCGGTCCCGCGGCGCTGACCCTCCGACAGCACCCGCTCCCCTCGGCGCTGACCCTCCGACAGCGCCCACTCCATCGGCGCCGACCCTCCGACAGCGCCCGCTCCCCTCGGCGCCGACCCTCCGACAGCGCCCGCTCCCCTCGGCGCCGACCCTCCGACAGCGCCCGCTCCCCTC